CTGAATTTGTGTGAGGTGCCACAGTCTGCAGAGATCACCGTTTATTCCTATGGAATCACTGATGAAATATTTTAATTCTTCAATAATTGATAAATTGGTAAATCCAGTTTACCACTTGGATCACATGCTGTCATAGATAATATTATGATCTGAAAGAAAAAATAAACCATTATTTGTGATTTCATTCCTCCTTAAACATAACTTGAAGCAGTAGGTTACCAGATGTGTCTACTGGGACCAAGAACGACTATTCCATGAAATGGGGAAAGTTAGATAAGGTGATTTCCAAAGTAGATAGTTCTTACCCTAATTCATTCTATAGATCATATGATGTCATCAAGAAGGTTTCAAAGTCAAAGATAGGAAAGTGAGCCCAAGACAGGTCATCAGTCAGGGAGGTAAGATGAAAACTCAGATATGAGATAGAGCGTCAAGCAAGGCAGTGAAGGAACCTGGGGAGTCAAGAATGAGAAGCAGAGTAGACAGAGTGGTATGGTCAGTGGTCCTCACAGTTTAGGGAGCTCAGAATCACCTGGTGGGCTTATTAAAATAGTAGTGCTGGGCTCCACCCCCAGCGTTTCTGCTTCAGTAGGTCTGGAATGAGGCCTGATAATTCACATTTCCCACAAATTCCCAGCTGATGATGCTAATCCAGGGACCACACTCTGAGGACAACAGTTGTTCAAGATGAATCCCAGAGTAAGTGATAGTACCTCCAGGGATTTAGTGAGCTCCTGGGATACTTGGTTGGGCAAACTCAGTTCACCAAAGAGTTAGGGACAGAATGAAAAACATCTTGACTTTTTCTTTCATTTCAATTCACTTTTTTAAAAACATCAAATTCATAACCCAGAGTAATGACTATGTGAACGTCTTTCTGTATTAAAATGTAAAATAAGAACTTATATTCTTGTCATATAAAACATAAATCAAAATTATTCCCTCCCTATGAAAAATGACATAGTTCATATTTTTGTAGTTTAACAACTCATGCAGTGTTCTGATTAAGAACGTGTGCTCTGAAGACAGTCTAGGGTCAGATATTGATTTTACCACCTGCTTTGTGCCCTGAGGTTATAAGTTTCTTGAACTCTCTGAGCCTTCTTTGCGAAGTGGAGATATTACTAATTGCATACAGTTGTTGTGAGGATTAAATGAAGTAATGAATTTAACAACTTACTGGAGTTCCTGGCACACAGTGTTAGTTATTACTGGAACACCAAAGTAAATGCCTTCATTGAGGAATGTGACTTTGTATATAACACTTCGGAGTTATCTCAGGTTTAACCTGATAGGTTGCTCTCTATATCTATAATTCATTACAGCTCTTCTGCCAAGAATAGCCCTGAGTTTGGCATGAGGTTATAAATTATATATAAACAATGAGATTCAGAAGTCAAAGTGATTATAGATAGCAAAGGACCTAAAATTGCCTCTAGCAAATTTCATGCAAAGAAGGAAAACTACCGTCTGTTTCAGGATAGTTAGGAGCATCAAACCTGGACCAAAGCATGGGACACGACTGCAGAGCTGGTGCTCTGGTCTCCTGGTCGAGAGGCTGGGAGCTGGGACGTCCACTCCCCTAGCTACATTTGCTCTTCCTAAGGCTGTCTCCCACACAAAAGCTGGCCAGGCAAGCACAAACACTAAACGCTGAATTAGTAAAAAAAAAAAAAAGAAAAGAAAAATTGAAATTCCCATCCATATCAGAACGTTTGTAAAAGGGAGAGAAGACTTTGCATCTCATATGCTGACTCCTTGTTCATCTCCCTTGTCTTATTTTGGAAGCTTTAACAACCACCCTCCACAGCCCAATCTTTCAGTGGTTTCCACCAGCAATTTAGGCCTCCCCGGCCAGACTCACTGAATTATAGGCTTCGGAGTCAACGCTCTGTGGGAAGACACAAATAGACTGTGGCTGCAGTTCTGCTTGCAGAGGGGCCTAAAATGTCAAATCTAAAATGCAAAGAACTCTGGTACTGGGGGATGGGGAGAACGGGCCCACTGGGCAGTGCAGCTCTGGCACAGACCACCTGCAGTCAGGTCAGATGTCTCGGCGAGAGCCCAGGTCCCAAGGCTGATCTACAGTCGCCTGCTGAAAACTGTGAGGTGCCCAGGTTACCCCTGCTCCGTACCAACTGACTGTGAATCGAGGGCCTCCCATAAGCCCCTCAGCTTTGATAATCTGCTAGGAAAACTTGCAGAACTCAAGAAAGCACTGTAGTTATCATTACACTTCTACGATAAAGGATACAAATTGGGCCCAGCCAAATAGACATTTAGGGAGAGGTCTGAAGCATGTGTGTGTATGTGTGTGTGTCATGAACACACATGTGTGTGTGTCATGAACCAGGAAACTCCCTCAAGCCACAGTGACCAGAGTTTTTTTGAGTTTCATTCTATAGATATGATTGATTGGATCACTGACAACAGGCTAAGACTCCAAGACACCTCACCTCCAGGGAGGTTGGGAAGTCAGACTGGTGTCAGAGCTGAAAGTCACGAGTTTAGTCTTTCTATCATAGCCAGTCCCCATCCTGAAACTACTTAGGGGCCATAGTGAATCACCTCATCAGCATAAGTCAGGTTTGGCTCCAAGGGCCTACTATAAATAATAAAGAAACTTCAGAATTCTAAAGGATTAGAGGTTCCCTTTTAGGAACGCAGGACAAAGATCAGACAAGTTCTTTATTATACAATATATGGAAAATAGAATTGAAACTATTTTAAGTCAGCAAAAATGAAGGCCAACAATTCTGATCTTTTATAATGGAGAAACAACTGGAAAATGTCATTTGATTAAAAAATACATGGTCTTTAAATATCATTAGTCTTTAATTTGCTGTTCACTCACTTGTTTCCTTCACTTATTCATTCATTCAGCAATATGTATTGAGCACCTCCTGTGCTAATCATTGAAGATATAGTGTTACTCTGTCAATGAAAAAAAAATCTATTTGTACAGTTGATCCTCAAACAAAGTGAGGTTTAGGGGTGCCAGTACCTTACAGGGGCTTCCCCCTGGCTCAGCAGTAAGGAATCCTCATGCAGCGCAGAAGGTGCAGGTTCGATCCCTGGACCGGAAAGGTCCCCAGGAAAAGGGCATGGCAAATGTTGACTAAATAGATGCAAAGTGAGAGCTGCAAGTTAAGTTTTAATGGGATAAAATAAAGACTGCAGCCCAGGAGACAGCACCTCAGAGACCTCTAAGGAACTGTTCAAAAAAGGCAGTGGGGAAAGTCAATATATAAGATTTTGTTGAAGGGGGAATTCAGAGCAATCAAGTACCTACTTTACAAAAGGTTTTCTGCTAGTCATGAGGAGCTGATGTCACCATGAAGGGATTTAGTGCTTTTCTAGATGTGAGGAGATGCATGGATTTGGATCATGAAATCAGCTTCTGAAAATATCTGACTATCTAAAGGCTTGCTCCACCAGTTTCCCTGGAGCACAGAGTGCCTCACTCTCCACGCTGAACTGCCTTCAGGGCACGTTGAGGGTCAACAGCTGCAGCAGCACAGAATTCAGTCTCTGCAGAGGCAGGCGGCCACTGCCGTCAGCAAGCACCAATCTGTAGTTGACACAACCCACGCCAGGAGTCTTGCCGGAAAATCCCGTAGACAGAGGAGCCTGGTGGGCTACAGTCCATGGGATGGCAAACAGTCAGACACACGGTGCAACTAAGTGCACACATGTGTGCGCATGCACGCACACATACACACACACACACACGTGTGCACACACACACACAATCCACATATAACTTTTGACTCCACCCCCCCACCCAAACTTTACTCAGACTTCACTGTCGGCCAAAAACCTTACTTTTTTTTTTTTCCTCTTTGGCTTTTGGTTTGTTTGTTTTGTTTTGGGCCGTGTTGGGTCTTCACTGAGGCATGCAGGCACGTGGTATCTGAGTTCCCTGACCAGGGATTGAACCCATGTCTCCTGCATTGGAAGGTGGATTCTTTATCACTGGCCCACAACAGAAGTCCCCAGAAGCCTTACTGCTAACCAGTTGATTAACACATATTTTGTATGTTGTATGTATTATATATTCTACAATAAAGTGAACTAGACAAAAGAAAAATGTTGTTAAGAAAGTCATAAGAGAAAATGCATTTACAATGTTGCTGATGAATTTACGGTTCTTGCTTTGTCATGAAAGAATTCAGAGATGAAGTGATAGTAAATGGATGTCTTTAAAGGCAAACACAATTCGCAGAGTGTGGGCCATCTCAGAAAGCAAGAGAGAGCCTCAGTATACAGTGTGGATAGTTTTTATGGACTGGGTAATTTCATAGGCTAATTAGTGGGAGGATTATTCCAATTATTTGGGGGAAGAGGCAGGGATTTCCAGGAATTAGGCCACAGCACAAGATTTGACCTTTTATGGTTGGCCTCAGAAATGTCATGGTGCCAATGGGTGTGGCATTTAGCATACTAACAAGCGTTAAGATGAGGTGCTAGATTTACTGCAAGTTGACACTTGGACACAGTTATTTCTAACCAGTCTTTGTCATGGTTATATCATTCCTTCCCCCCTTCCCTCCTGTTTCAACCATATATTTATTTACTATTTATTTATCAAAAAAATCCACAGGCCCACACAGTTCAAACCCGTGTTGCTAAAGGGTCAGCTGTATTACGTGGAAAAAAGGAAAGATGAACTATTTGAAACTTCTTGCTCATTTTAATTCCAATTGAAATGAGTCTGAGTTCTGAGATAATTGTTAATTTTGCTTGTCAAAAATAACGTTAAGAGAGCTCCCAAAGTATAAAATATTAGAAGTCAAGTCTAGATTTATCAAGAATTGCGGAGACAGGGGTGGTAGAAAAAAATATGGATGTTTGTTTAACCACAAAGCTGCCATTTGGTCTTATGTTTTTAAACAAAATCAAGAAGTGCTTTGAAATGTGATGTGTTTTAAACTGTTCTTTTTTTGCTTTCCTGTAATTGGAGCAACATACTAATTTCTACAAGTTGTGACTACTAACAGAGAGCAATCACCTCACAGACTTGTACCGAAGAGATGAGACCATCCGGGTGACAGGACACGGCCACGTGCAGAGTCCCCGCTTCCCAAACAGCTACCCTCGCAACCTGCTTCTGACCTGGCGGCTCCACTCCCAGGAGAAAACAAGGATACAGCTAGCCTTTGACAATCAGTTTGGATTAGAGGAAGCGGAAAATGATATCTGTAGGTGAGTGTGAAATAAAATCCATATTAGGGTAAAATTCCAAGGTGAAGAAAAGGTTTAAAACATTGCATCCAAGTTCTCATTCGGACCCTATCCAAAATATGTGACTTCTTTTTCAAAAAGCCTTTATGTCCTTCCTAATGTACAACATAAATGGAAGCACAGCCTCTGTGGAAGCCTTAACCTGGCATGACTCACAGAAGCTCACTTCTGCAGCTGGCAGAGCCAGGCTGTGTGATTTCCAGAGAAGGGGGATCTGGGTGATTCTTTTTTTCTGGGCCAGGCCTAGAACCACCTTTGTGAGCAGCTGGACACATCCGGTGTCCCGGGTCATCTGCAACCCTGTCCCGTGCTCAGGTGCGAGCTTCCCAGGAGTTAAGGAGTGTAATCCCCTGCCAGGCTCCAGGAACTGACCCAGCACTGGGAGAGGGTGGTGGCGAGGACCCTGCCAGGGCCTTACCTGAAATCGTAATTTTAAGGCCTCAGATACGTGTAAGAAGAAAGAAGGCAAGCTCCCGGGGCCAGCGCACTCCTCAGAGGTCTGTTCCTTCCTGCAGTTTCCGGGTCAGCAGAAAATGAAAGCTCCTCCCTTTTTAGCATATTTTTCAGAGCGAGGCTTGGCTGTTGTTCTCAGAATTGTCCTCTCTCAGCATCATACTCCCTTAATTAGCATGGGTAAGATGCGGAGGGTAGTTTTTCCTCGTTGTACTTGACTGCGTGCACTGGTTCTGCATTGCCAACGAACTGCTACTAAACTGCTAAATCCTTTCAGCAGGCTTATTTTACTCTGAATAATAAAAATCAGGTGCCTCAAATTTGGCTATCCTTTGTTGCATGTTTATTACGCTGACAGCATTTATTATGTTGCTATTTTTTTCAAGAACTAATAGCACCAACTATTACTTTCTAGGAGCATAGACTAGGCTAATGTATGCCGGAAAGTAGATGAATACATGCAGGAGGAGCCAGTTAATATTTACAGAGAGAATAAGCTTGAGGAGATCTTATGTCTTTTCAACCTTGAAAGGGAGAATTCATTTTCTGTGCTTAAAAAAAAAAGAGAGAGAGAGATCATGGAAACAAACAAAAAGCCAGTATTAAAAGTTTATTAAAGATGATATCATTGAAGAGATACTGGTCTCCACTCCCACGCAGGGTTTTGATCTGGAAGTGACTAAACCCTCTGGCCGACAGAGGATGAGATGGCTGGATGGCGACACCGACTCGATGGACATGAGTTTGAGTGAACTCCGGTAGCTGGTGATGGACAGGGAGGCCTGGCATGCTGCAATTCATGGGGCCACAAAGAGTCAGACACGACTGAGCAACTGAACTGAACTGAACTGAAACCCTCTGGACATCCTGACCTTAAAATTAGGAGAGGAAATTAAGGACGATTTTTCCCCCCGTTGTTGGTCAATTGCTAAGTGGTGTCCAACTCTTTGCAACCCCATGAACTGCAGCACACCAGGCCTCCTTGTCCCTCACCATCTCCCAGAGTTTGCTCAAATTCATGTCCATTGAGTTGGTGATGCCATCCAACCATCTCATCCTCTGTCGTCCCCTTCTCCTCCTGCCTTCAATCTTTCCCAGCATCAGGGTCTTTTCCAGTGAGTCAGTTCTTCTCATCAGGTGGCCAAAGTATTAGAGCTTAAGTTTCAGCATCAGTCCTTCCAATAGGTATTCAGGGTTGATTTCCTTCAGTATTGACTAAAAGATCCCCAGACCAGTCCTCAAATCAAGCTGCTTCTAATAATTTATAGAGGGAGTTAAAGAAGTAAAAGGTAGAGGAGAGAAGAAGGGGAAGAGATCAGGACCCTCCCTGAAAACCAAAATGGAGCTTCGAGAGTGAAAATTGTGCTAATAGGTTATCTAAATAGCAAGTGACCTCTTGTGTTATTAAAGTTTCAAGTATACTCTTGCTTAGTGTAGTAAATATGATTCACATATATTGTATATAAAATGAAATGAAGTTGTTTCTTCCCACCTGTTGCAAAACTTCCTTGATGTCTACATTGTAATATTTAATGTAATTAATGTAATATCTAATGATGATTCTATCTTAGTACCTTTCACTTTCCAAGCACCATGTATCAAGTAGTTAATTTGCAGAGCGCTGAATAGATATTCAGCTGATAAAATTACATAAGCCTTCTTATTGTGCTCGTTAGGAAACTGAGGCAAAGGAGATAAAGGCCCCACCGATTATTTTCAATGAAACTGAGTCACCATCTTGTTATGCTCAGCTGCTTCTTAGTCCACTCTGGCCCACGCAGTAAGAGCTCTGAGGTGTATGGGTTAGACTAGCTAAGTTGTATTGGGTTTTCTTCACACTCAGATGTGATAGTCCTCATGCTGACTCCTTTTGGCAATCATGACAGGAAAATGTAAAGTAGATAGGAGACTTCCTGCACTGTTCACCCCGAATGTTTGCCCTGAGTGCTCATTGTTTGCCCTGTGACTTTAGCATCTCAAGTCACATGGGGGACAGGTGAATGAAGGACGCGACCCTGATGATCAGAACTGAAAGGCACAGACTTCAGCTCTCAAGTAGAATGTTTTAAGATTTTGGGTATCTCAAAATAGAATAAGTGATTCCTAGAAGATGCCAGTTCTGTCTCTGAACATGTTTTACTCTGCAATGAAAGAGTTGGGTATTGTGCAGGGACTTTGAGGATCTAACGGCTCTATGGAATATCTAAAATGCCTCTCCTGTCTTTTTCAGTCCTGAGATACTCTGTTTCTCTGACCAGTGTCAATGATGGACCCATGGTCTTACCCGCATTCACACACAGCCCAGATATGTCCACTACTGGCTAGGGCACATCACTGCTAAAGGCATGTGCTTTCAATGATGATAAATGTCATTGTTTATGATACAATCCCTTCAAAAGATAGGTGCCACAAAGAGAAAATAGTTGTTTATTTTATAATTTTACCACTTATTTTCTACAATGAAATTGCTGATTTTTTATGCTGTGTAGGTATAGACCATTTCCTTTCCTCAGGAAATGCTGGATGTGGTAAATTAATTCCAAGTGAGAATTTGTTTAAAAAATTGATATAGTAAACGTGGGTATATAATTGAAGATACAGGCTTCTCCAGTGGCTCAGCGGTAAAGTATCTGCCTGCAATGCAGAAGATGCTTGTTCAGTCCCTGAGTCGGGAAGATCTCCTGGAGGAGGGCCTGGCACCCCACTCCAGTATTCTTGCCTGGAGAATCCCACGGACAGAGGAGCCTGGAGGGCCACAGTCCATAGAGTCACAAAGAGGGGACATGGCTGAAGCAACGCACGCACACAATTGGAGCTCTCTCTCCTAAACTATGACAAGAGATTATATTTATTGGTTTCTCCAGGAAAACCTTTATAAGCTAGATGCTCAGAAAGTAGCCTATTTTGATTTTTGACAATTTAGGAAGAGTTATGAGGCTTCTCTGTTAGCTCAACTGGTAAAGAATCTGCCTGCAATGCAGAAGACCCCTGTTCAATCCCTGGGTTGGGAAGATCCCCTAGAGAAGGGAGAGGCTACCCACTCAGTATTCTTGGGCTTCCCTGTTGGCTCAGAGGGTAAAAATTCTCCCCGCACACTATTTACCATAGCTAGGACATGGAAGCAACCTAAATGTCCATCGGCAGACAAATGGATAAGACAGCTGTGGTACATATACACAATGGAATATTACTTAGCTATTAAAAAGAATGCATTTGAATCAGGTCTAATGAGGTGGATGACTGGAGCCTATAATACAGAGTGAAGTAAGTCAGAAAGAAAAGCACCAATACAGTATATTAATGTATATATATGGAATTTAGAAAGATGGCAACGATGACCCTATATGTGAGACAGAAAAAGAGACACAGATGTAAAGAACAGATTTGGACTCTGTGGGAGAAGGCGAGGGTGGGATGATCTGAGAGAATAGCATTGAAACATGTATATTATCATATGTGAAATGAATTGCCAGTCCAGGCTCAGTGCATGAGACAGGGCGCTTAGAGCTGGTGCACTGGGATGACCCTGAGGGGTGGGGTGGGTGGGAAGGGAGGTGGGAGGGGGGCTCAGGATGGGGAACACATGTACACTCGTGGCGGATTCATGTCAGTTTATGGCAAAAGCCACTACAGTTGGAGCCTCCAATTAAAAAAAAAAAAAATCTCCCTGCAATGCAGAAGACCTGGGTTTTGATCCCTGGGTTGGGAAGCTCCCCTGGAGGAAGGCATGGCAACCCACTCCAGTATTCTGGCCTGGAGAATCCCATGGACAGAGGAGCCTGCCGGGCTGCAGTCCATGGGGTCACAAAGAGTCAGACACGACTGAGCAACTTTCACTCACTCAAGGAGGATAGGCTGAAAGTGTATAAATTTTTTCCTCAGAATAGATTGTTGAAGTTTGAATTTGAGAAATCCAAAGAGCTGGTTTTTCTTCTAAACTTCATTTCAGATAATAGGTCATGAGAAATCACATGTTAGTTTTAATTTCTCAATGAAAGTATGAATTTCAAAGTCTATTTTAATCAAAGCTTATTTATGTTAAATTGGTACCAGGTATGATTTTGTAGAAGTTGAAGACATATCTGAAACCAGTACTGTTATTAGAGGACGATGGTGTGGACACAAGGAAGTTCCTCCAAGGATAACATCAAGAACAAACCAGATTAAAATAACGTTCAAGTCTGATGACTACTTTGTGGCTAAACCTGGATTCAAGATTTATTATTCTTTTGTGGTAAGTAGCTTAACCACCTTATGATTAAAAGCAGACACTGGTTAAATGAAGTTTAGAGGTGATTTTCTGTGATTAAATTCAGCGGTGTGAAACTGAACGGACTGTGTTAATTGTCTGTGGTATGCTTTGTCCCTGCCTTGTGGCCAAAATGTTAAAACTTTCTTTAGTGAGGAATGCCATTTTAGATCTGTTAGATCAATGCTTGGGGCCCAAGCATTTTGAAAGAAAACACAGTGAATAGAAAAAGTAAAATTGTTTACAGTAAAGCATATACCATTTTCCCTTTAATTCAGCAAAATAAATATATAGCCAAAGAGAAGTTATGTGATATTTGAGAAATTTTCTATGTAATTCCAATCACAGAAGAGTTCCAATGATTTTAGGTTAAATTATGACCCAAATTTGGGAATGATCTATATTATAATCATAGAACCTCAGAGTTAACAAGCATCTTAAAGATTGGAATATAATTCAGGACCCAAAGGTTGATTTTTGCTTACTCATGTTTATTTTTGCTCTCACGTCTGCTTAAGCATCTCAGCAGCCATTTTAAACTTTAAATGCTTCTGTTAGAAGATGTTCAACTTCATATTGAGGTATAATCTACCTTGTAGTTAAGTCTAGTTGTTGGGTCATACATGGTCATGGATCTTCTTTATTCAGTCATTCATTAGTAAAACAATATAAAGTTCCTTGGAGGAGGAAATGCCAACCCACTCCAATATTCTTGCCTGAAAAATTCCATGGACAGAGGAGCCTGGCGGGCTACAGTCCATGGGGCCACAAAACAGCTGAGCACACACACAGGTAAAGTTCCTGCTTATAATCAGACACTCCGATAGGTGTAGTAGATACAAGCCAAGCAAGAGGACAGGATTGTTGAACCTCCTGGAGTTGATAGTCTGGTGGAAATGGCAGTTAAAAAGCAGTAACAACTAATGACGAGTAATAAGACGGAAGGACTGGGTGTTGCAGATGAAGCACAGGGAGAAATTGGGATAATTTTGCCTATGCATTACCTTTAGGATAGATTAAATATCTCTGAATCCTTGGGTCGTTCATAGCATATTGCCTCTTGCTCACCTGGCAGCATCACTAACTCTCATTCAGTTTATTGCTATCCCTTTTCAAAATGTGGTTGCCAAATAGAACACAGTACTACAAATGGAGTCAATTTGTGGGTTTTTTCCTCTTATGAGTTAAATTTAGAGTAGGAAAAAATCTTGATTTTTTTCAAATCTAATGTGGTTTCTTCTCTCTTTTTTTTTTTTGCATTATGATGAGTTATTAAATACTAAGTGAATTCTATATCAGAATACTATAAATGAAAAACAGCATGTGGTAATCCTGGTTCTGCTTTAATTTGGGAATAATCCATCAAGCGTGATATACATTACTACATACTCATGCAGTGCTGCTCAGCATTAAAATGGAAGTATGAACCTTTGGTTTCTGCATTTCTTTGCTTTTAATGTGTTCAGTGATGCATCTGTTCTCAATTTTTCATGGACAAAGCGGTCTCAGCATGTTGGAGTGGTGATGTGGCAGAATGGCTTAGTTAAGGACCTGTTTTATTCCCTCAACGTATCAAGGCCTGTTAGTGCTCATGTATATGTTTTTGTGAAGCTTTGGTTATGACTAAGTTAAATGATCCATAAGTCAGTTAGAAACATGCTAACTCTAATATTATGTCTTTAAGGCAAAATAACTCCTTTTCGTTGAAAAAGGCAGTGCAGATGTGGATTTAAGGAAAAGGGAGTATTTTCGTTTGAGGTGTTCTGGCTTATAGTGAAGGCTCGTCACTCATTTCCTGGCTGCTGTTAAGTGGAGTATTGGACAGACTGTAGTTTGGATGTAAACTCTTTGGCATGACTCCACTCACTTACTTATTCACCTCCACCAGTACATTCAGTTGTGTTTTATAGAAATGATGATTGTCGTACCTTTTTTTGTTATACCAGCCTCTTGGTCTGCATTTATTGCAAATAGCTTCATCTCTCTTTTCACTCCTAATAGGCTTCTGGCACTAAATATGATCAATTAGGGCCAAAGTGCTTTGGTGGCTGAATTCCAAGATAGAGTGGGCATAACCTTCAGGTGTATATAAACTCTAGATCTGTGGGACTTTTTGATAAACTCTTCTATTTGAACCTTGTTCAACAGGGATCATTTATGGCTTGACCAATGTTTTGGAAAGGTCATTTTATTCATGTTTAAATTTTTCTTGGAAAAACTTTAAAGCAGAATTTATGAAATCAAATGCTACAGAGACCAGACTTAAAACTCTTAGTGAGCCCTATATAAAATTAGATGGAGACAGTGGGATTAAAAATAGCAAGCTTGATGTGTATAAGTCATATCATTATTCTGCCCACATTATACAGTGCTGTATGTCAATTATATCTCATGAAACTAGAAAAAAATGACAAGCCTTCTTTAGGTGTATTTAAATAATGAATTTTAAAATGTTGGACAGACCTACAAAGCCCCTCGAATTTGGAGACAGCTGTTTTGCAATTCCTCCTTTAAAGCATGACAGGTGCTAGGGAAATTTGGACTGATGGTTCCTGAGCAATCCCCATGCTCTTAGAAAATGGCACATAGCTCTTTGGATAGGTCAAAAGTACCTCCCTTCTCATCTCCACCTTTCCACTTCTCAGCCTTCCATCAAACACCTCTCTTCTTCCTACCTCATGACTCTCCAGTTGTTCAAGGGCATCCCTGGAGGCTGTAAGTTACAGGTGCCCAGGACCAAAAGAGTCCACTGCACTAGAATCATATCTATGTTGTTCATGCTTGTAACATTTTTAGAATAAGCATGATGTAATTTTTAGTCTATTTTTCACTCCAGCAAAGTGTGGGAGATTGACTAGTGGGGTAACATCATGATCACTTAGTTTTGGTTAGCAATTATTCTTACAATTGCTACAGTTTTGTCTGATGTGCTAATTCAATCATCTATCTTTTTTTCCAACACCTATCACAGTCTTTCCTAGGGCAAGGCAGCATAGCCATAGGGGACCACATTGCTATAAAGCATATTTTGATTCAAAGAATGTTTCCCCAACTATTAATGTGTGATATAGAATGAGTCTCTTACCTTTTGGTTTTATATACATAAAATGGGGATAATAATTGGAGCTGATGTGAGATTTTAAATTAATAGCAAATACTTATAATAGCACATAGGATGTAGTGGAAGTGCTCAATAAATAATGGTGATAATGATCCTATCTTTGCCATCACTAAGTTTGTGTGTGTGTCTCCTCCAGATATAATTGATAGCAATGAACTATTTGAGGGCAGGACAAGTGTCCTGTGTGTATTCTACCCAGTACTTTATACATGGCTAGTTATGATGTTTGTTGAATTGATTCCTACTGAGAAAATGATTCAATTTCATATTTCAATTTTTTCTCTCCTACTGAGTTTTCTTTCCTAATTTCACTCAGTTGAGGGGGATAGTTAACCATCAGGGCTTCCCAGGTGGCACAGTAGTAAAGAGTCTGCTTGTCAATGCAGGAGGTGCAAGAGACGTGTGTTCAGCCTCTGGGTTGGGAAGATCCCCTGGAGTAGGACATGGAAACCCACTCCAGGATTCTTGCCGGGCAAATTCCATGGACAGAGGAGCCTGATGGGCTATAGTCTATGGGGTCGCAAAGAGTCGGACACGATGGACCGCACAACACAGTAAAAACAACAGATACCATCAGAGAGCATAATGAAGCAGAACGGATAATGTTATCAAACAGTTAGCAAAATGTGTTTGTCTTTATTAGGCTCTGCCATTGCAAATTTAGTTTGTTGGGGAATGAATGGATTGACTGGGTTGTTAGGAATCTCTTTTTGAAGACCATTAAGTAGATTATTGGGAAGGTGTCAATTATTAGACTCCAAGCGTGTGGTGTGCAAAGACATCTGCAAGCATGTGTGTGAATTTCAGCTCTGCTTCTTACTGAGCAAAGACTCAGTTTTGTCATCTGTAAGATTGTGATCATGCTGCCTGACATACAATTAACTAGTTATTGGGTTAAGCTAAGTAACTTTTGTAAAGCACCCTGCCTGGAACTTAGTAAAATTACACAAATATCTACTGCTCTTATTGCTATCATCATCACTGGTGTAGTTATTAATGTATCATCAGGTGATAAGTGAACTTGGCAGACCTGTACAAACAGCCCCATTGTCATTGTGTGTGTGTATGTATGCACATATTCACATACCTCTGACCATAATTCACTTCCAACCTACAAAGTAAAAGCATTTTATTTCATATTGTGACAAGCATTAAAAAAGCCTTTTATTTGTATATGTTTTTAATGAAAGTGAAAGTGAAGTCGCTCAGTCTTGTCTTATTCTTTGCGCTCCCATGGACTATAGCCCCCCAGGCTCATCCATCCATGGAGTTTCCCAGGCAGGAATACTGGAGTGGGTTGCCATTTCCTTCTCCAGGGGATCTTCCTGACTCAGGGATCGAACCTAGGTCTCCCGCATTGTAGGCAGACACTTTTACCATCTGAGCCACCAGGGAAGCCCGTGTTTCATGAAAAGTATATTTTACTTCAAAAAATTATTTTTAAAACTTGTATTGAAATATAGATGACTTACAACATTAAAATATTAAATATTAAAGTAAAAATTAAATTACTTGAAAGCTAGCCCATCTTTTTTAATTAGCAAACTCTAGTTTATTTTTTAAATTGAATTTAATAATACATTATAAACATTTTCTAAGATAAAAAAACAATTTTATGTGTTACTTAACTATGTACCTCTGTAGTTTGAATCAACTTCAAGTAGCAATTAAAATTTCCATTGAGGTTTAAACTTCACATGAATCATGGTTTTGCATTATAAATAATTATTTAAAATAGATGCAGAAAGGGAAGGGGATGAAAAAGAAGAAGATGAGGATGCAAAGAAAAAGGAAGAATAAGGCCAATGAGTTAATAACGAAGATTCTGATTTATAAGAGCTTTCACAGATTCTAATTTTGCTCA